ATGCACTACCCCACCCCTGCAACACATTACAGAACCAGATGGGAGGAAGATGGTAACAAACCATTCGACAGCATGGCAGAGGAGGAGAGGGGCCATCGGGACATTTCAAAATGCCCCGTGGTGTTTTTCTTTTAAAATTAACTTTCTCTTTTTTTTTTAAATAAAGATTTTATTTATTTATTTGACAGAGAGAGAGAGAAAGAGAGCACAAGCAGGGGGAGAGGCAGAGGGAGAAGCAGGCTCTCCACTGAGCAGGGAGCCCGACGCAGGGCTCGATCCCAGGACCCTGGGACCATGACCCAAGCTGAAGGCAGATGCTTAACCGACTGAGCCACCAGGTGTCCCAATAAAATTAACTTTATCAAGGGGTGGTTTAAATAAAACAAAATGACGTTTTAAGTAACAGTTTGTGAATTTTGGCAATTATATATGCACATGCAATCCCCACCACAGTCAAGATGTACACTATTTCTGCCCCCTCAGAACATTTCCCTGTGCCCCTTTCTAGATAATCCCTTCCACCTCTAACCTCAGGCAACCGCTGATCAGCTTCCTATCACTACAGATTTGTTCTGTTTTTTTTTTTTTTTTGTATTTCATGTCAATAGAATCAAACATTTTTTTTAAAAAAATCTGGCTTCTTTCATTCAGCATAGTATTTCAGTGATTCATCTACATTGTTGCACATGTCCGGTTTGCTTCTTTTCATTGCTGAGTCTTATTCCATTGTGCGAATACACCATAATTTGAATACACTGTTTCATAGTCACTTTGGTTGTTTCCAGGTTTGGCCAATTATGAATACAGCAGCTGTGCCTATTCTTGCCTTAGTCTTTTTGTGGACATAGTTCTCTTGGGTAAATACCTAGGAATGGAATTGCTGAGTCATATGATAAGTGTATGTTTAACTTTATAAATAATTATACCATTTTACAGTCCCACCAGCAATGAATGAGAATTCCAGAGTCTCCATGACCTGGTTAACACTTGGTACCACCAATCTTTTTAATTTTAGCCTTTTTGGTGAGGCCTCTCATTGTGGTTTTAACTAGAAAAATATGGACCTTGTTCCTATCAAGCGTGGAGGCGTAATCCTTACTCTTATAGGGTCAGTGTTCTTTGGTACTAAGGGCCAACTTACTTTCAGAGAAGGAAGCCATTTCTCAAGGATGACTAATTGTCTCTGAGATACAACAAGGTAGAGTTTTCATTATAAGTTAAAATGATCGGAGGCCATACTGTTCATGTTTCTCAATACTGCAATGACCAAAGTCAGGTCATGGAAACTCTTTGAGTCCCCATCCCCCTGCTGTTTCTCTTTCTAATATCTTTCCATGTTATCACCATCCTTAAACAATAGCTTTGGGAAGGCCTGAGTCAGTCTCTCAAGTGGACTCTCAAATTTTCCTTTTTCTACCCCCCTTTTATTTTTAAAAGATTTATTTACTTGGGGTGGGGAGGGAGAGGGAGCTTGAGTACGTGGGAGGGAGGGGCAGAGGGAGAGGTAGAGAGAGAATCTCAAGCAGACTCCCTGCTGAGCGTGGAGCCCGACATAGGGCTCGATCTCACAACCTGCAATCATGACCTGAGCCGAAACCAAGAGTTGGATGCTTAACTGACTGTGCCGCCCAAGGCGCCCCCCTTTTCTACCTTCTATTGCTAAATAGTACTAACATTGACTTATAACATCATTATTGTCATCTCCTTAGAGCCTTGTGGCGACTATTAGAGAAAGTAAATCAGAACCAAGTTATTACACGTTTGCTTGAAAGCCATGTGCCAGGATGTCCTGTGCACTGGTTAGGATGCATGCTGTTGCAAGTAACAAGAATTAGTTTAGGCAAAGTGAGTATAATTGCTCATGTCACGGCAAAGCCCAGAGTCTGACAGCATGGATTCAGTGGCCCAATGATGTAACCATGAAGTTTCTTTCCATCCCTTTGCTCTTCCTTCCAGTCATCTTCATCCCACGACTGGCTCTCCCTCGTGGTCACAGAATATTTACCAACAACAATATTTACCAACTACTCATTACCTTAGAACTCCACAACAGGCAAGCCCTGAGTCACATGCCCATCCCTGAACCAATCAGTGTGGCCAGGGAGGTGGAATTAGCTTAGAGCCACAGGCCCCCATCCAAGTGCAGTCAGCTTCCCCCATGAAGCTGAGGCATAAGAGGGAGGCTGTTTATTACATAAAAACTAAGACAACAAGAGGAGGGAGAAGAGATGTGGGCCAGGCAGCGACAAGCTCCTCTACTTTCTTCCTTCCTGGATTTAGTTATTCTGAATATTCTTGGGAAAAAAACCTCTGTCATTGACATTCAAGTTTTCTCAAAACATACCTTCCAAATGCAATGTCTCTTCAGTCAACAACTATGTCAGCCACCTTCCTTAGTTTCTGAAATCATCACCTGTGTTGCCAAGCATTTTCCCTCAAGCCCGATCTTCTTCTGTAGAGCAAACACCTAAGTTCACCCACCCCCCAACTTGTAACCAGACTTATTCTAATCTTGCCCATTACTCTCAGTCAGCCACATGGGGATAGTCATCCTACTTTCCTCCACAGCCATCTGCTTGAGCCCCACACTTGGCAGCAGCACACTGCCAGAACTTCCATGTAAGGCCAAGTGAACAAATGCTTCTTAGGTTGTCATCTTACAGGGTGTGTGTTTGCTCATGCGCCCCAGCTTTATATGCCCGAATTATTTTTTCCTGTGAAAAATCCATCTTCTCCATTAAAATAATAATTGTCTAGGGGATAGAAATACAAACTTTAAATTGATTTTCTACCTGGGCCTGTATCTTCAGTTAGTGTTTTTAAATGTCCATGCTCTATGCAGAGAGCACTTTATGTATTTAAACCTTTTTGTGGGCTGATAGCCTGAAGGGATTTTTCTGTGAAGCCAGTGACTTTTAAATGTACAAAAATAATTGATATTGAACAGTCTTGTCTCTAGGTTTTCTTATAGCTTTCAAATATTGGCTAAATATTTATCCTTTGGGGCTGTGAGTTGGACCTTGCAATGGAGAGAGATTAATTGCCTAAAGCGTGTCACTGATTGGCCATAAGTGGGTAAATACATCAAACTCAAAACCCACCAGGCTCCACCAAAAAGGACGTGATGGTCTGGGGAGGGCAGATGGTGAGCACAGATACCAGAGAACAGTTTAACACGTTGTATACTATCCTTGTACTGATATTCTTCAAACCCCAGAAACCTATTCTTTTTGTTATGTTGGGTGAAGCATGTGTGGCTGTTTGTTTTCCTTTCTTAGGAGAAAAACTGAAGCAGTTCAAAATTTACAGCTTCATCTGAACAAGAGAATCATTTTGCTGTCTCAAAACCCACACTTAACAATTCATGAACAAAGTCAGTATTCAAAAGAGGAAATAAGAATTTCCTTTCAGTTAAAAAATTATGTTTTTCTGGGTTTTGTTTTGTTTTGTTGGCAAACTCTCAGAATAACAAAAATGGTCAAGCTCCGAGAAACCACACATACAAACAACAAATACTCCTGCATGGACACAAATGAGTACTGTTCTCTTGAAACCGATCTCTCTGGTTCTACTGGTTCAAAAAAGACCTATCGCTGTAGTCTTCTTGGAGAATATTTCAAAGTGGTTTATGGAACTTTTCGCTGTAGAAGTCACTTCCTATAAATGGGGCCATGATTATAGAAATCACACACACACACACACACACGCGCGCACACACACCCCACAGGGGGTGGGGAGGACATAAAACAGGCTTCTTTCTTGACAGCTATTTCCAAAAGTTTCCAGAAACAGACCCATCTGGAGGTTACAGTTTTTCTGCCTTGTGTGGAGCTTTGGTTGCAATACAAAGTGCTTAAAACACCCACCGAGTACATGGAAGATGAATATGCCTCTGTGAGTGAGAGAGAGAGATGAACAGAGAGGCAGAGCATACAAATTCTGACTAGTGATTTCAGCTTGTCTTGCAAAATCGGCGAGTCGGAGGTTGTCCTAGTGATGGCTAGGGAGGCAGCTTCCCTCGGATTGCAGCCCTGATCATCTGCACGTTGGACTCAGACTGGCCTCCTGTACCCCCAACACCCACCCACTCCCACACACTGGGTCTCTACACTCACCTTATTCTGGTGCCGCCCCTCCCCACTACCTATTTGGATCCAGAACTGTGGATGGGTCTGTGGTGGGTGTTAGACGCCGAAGAAACCCTCCTATGTAGAGGTAAACAGAACTTGGGTAAGAACTTACAGTTAAGCAAGAAGACCTACCAAACAACTAGCAGCAGGAAGAAAGAGCATTGCTCGCGCGAGAGTGGAGGCCACAGGAGTTATGCCCACAGAGTACACAACTAAGACTTTTCACTGTTGTCAACTACACTAATGTTTCTGTGGTTTTTTGTTTTTCAAAAGAAGCCCACGTTGAAAAATCACCCAAGATGCACTGCCGTACCAGCAAGAACCATTCTGCCTCAACACACTTCCTCTAAATACACATCTGCCTGGCTGCCTGGGGTTCTTCCCACCATCTGATGGTATCTCATAACAGGGCCACAAAATATTAGTTCTGGAGTCTGGAGACGTGGGGTCAGGTGGTTTCCACAAAGTACAGTACACGCATCACTGTGGTCAGCAAGTATCTTAAGGTACACGCAAGTATTTATCGGTTTAATGGTTATGCACTTATTTTAATATGTATTAGGAAAAAATTGCCACACAGCACATCAGTCTGGGCACTCAGCACCATCACTTAGGTTATTACCGAACTGCAAGGCCAGTGTCTCATTACATGCTTTCTGGGTCAACTGGTTAGCATGTGAGAACCATGGCCACTGATGATCCCCAGTCTCGGGGAGAAGGGTCTCTCCTACTACCCTGGCCTGGTGGCTGTGGACAAGGGTGTCTGGGCAATACTACAATTGGGCAGCCTTGTGAGGATGAAGATTTACCCACAGAACCCAACCTTGGGCTTTGGCAGTAGGTCTCCTTTCTCAAATCAGACACCTTACCCAAGATTTTGAAACATTTAATCAGAAAAGAATCTGGCATTTTAAAAAGTTAGGTTTACAAACTCGACACCGTCTTAACATTAGCAATTTATCTATTTATACATTGTCTAAGGAAACAAGGTCCATGAAGACATCAACAAGATATTTAAGAGTTCCTTATAAGCTACAAGTTTGCAAATAAGTATCCAGTTTAACTGTAACAAACCACTGTGAGCAAATTTAACTAAGTATATAAAAACATTAGTTAAATATAATTCTCTGGAAATATACATTATACCTACAGTTTGTTGTTGCTGTTTTTTTACAGTGAGATTCTTCCTGCTTTCTCCTGTTTAATTCTCAAAATGGCAAATCACTGTATGGTCCTGGATCTCCAAGCTACAAAACTGAAATATGTGTTTCCAGCATAGCAGATGGTGACCAAAAAGGCGAAGAACTGGAGAAAACAGAGGATAATAGAAAGAGGGCTTAGGGCACATTCTAATTAGCAAAAGTTATCATTTCACCTCCATTGAATCAGGTACTCATAGCATCCCTTGAATCCAGGCTTTCTCATCTAAAATTGCTTTATTGGTTCAATTACCTTCCTTCTGAAATGATCTCTGGCTATGCTGGTTGTTTGGGGTTTTTGTTTTGTTTTTTGTTTTTCTTTTTGCAACATATCTGGAAAGCTTGTAGTTTTGCTCAAATAACCACATGGTGTTCACTTCAGGGTGAGTATGGTGGTGTGTATCTGAGAAAAGCACATGTATTCCTAATTTAGTATAGACAATTTTAGACCAGGGCTTAACCTCAGATTGCCATAGGGTCAGTTACATAAAGGAGTTGAGTGGGTGGGAGGAAGCGATGAACCCACAGGGTGCGAATGGTGAGCAGGGAAAAAGCAGGCGCCTCTGAAGGGGCAGCCAATGCCCAGGTCTGGCTGATTCTTGCTGTATGATAGCTAGAGCTTAGTGCTGCTGAAGCTTGTGATTATTATTATTTTTTTTTTTTTAAGTAGGCTTCATGCCCAGCATAGAGCTCAATGTGGGGCTGAACTCACGACCCTGAGATCAAGAACTGAGCTGAGATCAAGTCAGACACTTAACTGACTGAACCATGAGAGCACCATGCTCTCTACCTTTAAATAGAGATTTTTGAATATAAATATCAGAATATAAGAAATAGGGGAGAGGGGTGCCTGGGTGGCTCAGTCGGTTGATCAAGTGTCCAACTCTTGATCTCGGCTTGGGGTCGTGAGTTCAAGACTCATGTTGGGCTCCACACTGGGCATGGTGCCCACTTTAAAAATATATATATATAATGAACGGCTGTGTATCATCAATCGGTTTTAACATGATCATTTTGGTATTCCTGTTTAACTGACCCCAACCCCCCCCCGCCAATTACTTCTTTTGGGAATGGAATATTTTAAGGCCAATCTCAGAGGAACTTCTAAAATTAGTTTTTAAAATCAGAACTACAATACCCATTAATGGTTTAAATATGCAAATAGTATGGAAGCACATAAATTAAAAAGCAGAAGCCCCTCAGGCTGCTCCCTTCATCATCCAACCACAGTCTCTGGAAGGAACCTCTGTTCATGTATGCTTTCCCAGGCACTCCCATCGCATAAACAAACATCTCCACTTCTTAAGTAAAAATAGAATCATAGTGTGCTCATTTTTTTTTTTTTTTT